CACAAACTAAATCACATAACAAAATGAGACAAATACAAACATGAACTCAGAGCGCTGGGTCAGAGACCCAGCCTGTGACACTAATCTCAAAGTATGCATGTGCACACTTTAAAAAATATCTGTTTGCATTTTATTGGAAAACATTTAAATTGTAAACTTAACTCTTCCGTTCCCAAAAGCATACAGGGACGCTCCACTGGCTGTTTGACTCAGAATAAAACATGAGTTTAGGAAAAGGGAACCATATGGCCTGTGGACAGAAGTGGCACTCGTGATAAATGTGCTCTTCACCAGACACAGACCAGTCTCCTAGAAAAAAGAGAGAGATCTGAAGAATTCGCAGCCCTCAACAACCTCATCTTCCTTATGACAGCTATAAGAGGCCCTGTTTGCTAATTCCTCCCAGATGGTTCAACCAGTAGTAGCAGTCTTCTTCACTGTGTAATCCATGTGGACAATTTAGCATTAGTCCTCATTATGTTCCTACTGTTTGCTGAACATGTCTCAGATTATGGATTTGGCCTGGAATACAAGGAGACGCCTGTGGGGAAAAAAATTTAACACAAAGTGCACGCACTGCTGTTTGAGTGAGTTTAGTCTTCCTGTTTGATGCTTCGCTGCTTTTGCTCCCTGTTGATGAAAAGACAGATAAAAAACATCTCATCTATCAGATCAAACTGAAGATGACTTCTGACATTTTCATGGTTAAGCAAATAAATCATATCTTTCCAAAGTACAAATATGGCAGACAGATGGACATGAGACAGACATTTAAGGACACATGTGCAGTCCAGGCTCAGACATCTTTTATCACCCTCAACAGCAGGCCATTGAGGACCTGCAGAGTGAAGAGGAGAAAGTCAACCTGCTGACCAAAGAGAAAACCAAGTTGCAGATGCACACTGAAGATGTATGTACATATTTTTCAAATTGAACATATAGTTCATACCATATGCACTACACAAATGTTTTTTTTTCAATATTTATTCTGTAATTTCTGAAATTTGCAATGTGTTATAGCTCGGTGCGCTTTCAAATTAAAATGCAGGACTGTTCCGTCTAATTCCTCCCAAACGTGCTCACCTGGGTGTAATTGTAGGCTGTAGGGTGCTCTTCCATGATGTAAAGCTGGTTAATGTCTTTGAATGTTTTGAGTCATTGTCTTACTGCAGGATGGAGGCCTGGCCAACCACGTTGGCTTTTAAACTGCTAAAATTCCAACAGCTAGTCTATAATTTTGAACGTCTGTCATTTGTGTTAGATGGAAAACTATAAACTCACTGGAAAGTGTGTTAGGTAAATGTTGCTAGCACTGCGTTTAAGCCTTTTTTTTTACCTTCAAAATTGCTCTCATGGTTCGTGGCACATGGTTGCTGCAGATTGGTCAGCTGAACATCCATGATGCAAATCTGCCACCGATTACTCAGGAACTCAGGAGATCAAAGTGTGCAGAGAAAAGATACACGACAACCACCAACCTGAACTGTTGATACAAAGCAGGATGAACCCATCCTTTCCTGTTGTTTGTGACACATTCAGACCTTCCCATCCAAATGTATCAGCAGAAGTCAAGTAGTGTTATTTTATAAAAATCTATAATATGTTAATAACTGATAAAACAATCTCTGATTTTATGAGACTACCTAGAGCTTTAACTGTAGACTCCATGATAACTTATTTTAAATATAAGGTCAGTGCCATTACACTGGTGTAACATTTGCATCCAACAGAAACACACATGTTGTACACATTAAAAGTAATAATAAGCTTATGAACCAACTATTCAACAGCAAAGTGAGGAATGGAAACTCATGGTTATTTAACTTAATTGTAACCCTGCTAGCCAATACAGCTTGGCAAAAATAGGGAAACACTGAAACATGTAATTTCACACATAAAAATTGTCAAATATAATAAATGGTGATTATAAAATATATTAAAAAGTGGCACAAAGCATTTCACTATTTGCAATTACAGTCAAGAAATATTGTTAAACCCTATTATTGAATCCGTCCTGTAACTTTCCTCATGCTCAGTTGGAGTACCAGCTGGAACAGGAGCGCCATCAGCGTGCTGAGCTAGAGAAGAGCAGGAGGAGGCTGGAGGGGGACAGCAGATCTTCGCAGGACAGTCTGGGAGAGATGGAGAAGATGAGGAATGGTCTGGAAGACCTCATTAAAAGGTCAGTCAAAGACGCGCTGCATGCTTATAGCAAACTTTTCAGAGTAGATGGGGAAAAAAGCCAGTCAGCCAAAGTACTGTTTGCTCCTGACACCAACAATTTGAGGCTAAAGCTACATTCTGTTAAATTCTGTTGGGAAATTTTGCAGAGATTTTCATAGTTTCACAGAGATCTTCAATGATCTTCCGACTTTTTTTCTAGTGTAACATTGAGGCTTGCATCTCAGGGGTCTGCTGAATCATCCTGCTAATTACTGAGTAGACTGTCTGTAAAGACTCTGTTGATTCCCAGAAGATAAATCCAAATGTCCTTGTTGATGCCCTTGTTTTATTGCTAGCATTACCAGAGGGTCAAAATGTTGGCTTTTATATCAAAATTGATTAACATAGACATTTAGACAATGAAAAATCCAAATAATTAACAGTTTTCTTAAAAACCAAAGTGAGACTGATATGTTTAACTGTTGTATTACTTAAGAAAATATGGTACATATGTCCACAATTTCACCAGGACCTATAATTTTATTTCGGTCCACCGTCATGAAAAGATTTTGAATCAGTTTTCTTAATTTATGCTAATTAGCGTTAGCATATTTGTAATGCTCTGTGAGATTTTCTGTTTACTGTATCGGTTCCAAAATATTAAAAAGTTTGCAGTGTGCCTAATGGCTGAAGGTTTTTTGTACTATAATACAGTACTATATATTGTACTATAATACTGTGGTTGAAAATTATACAGGATATTGTTGTTATTTCCAGTTTGATCCTATTTGTAGTTTGTGGCATCACTACCTCATGGTCACAGTGGCTAAACATTGTGTGTCTGTCCTGTGGGTGGGGGGATAATAGTCATTCAGAATGTTTTGAGCTATACAATAAAGCATATTTGTTCAAAGAAGAAGACACACAGGTAGTATTTCAGGTCAAATTTCTAACTTGAGAAGCCTGGAGACTCTTGGAAAACATTAGCTTTCCAAATCATTTATAGCATTAGCAATTTTAAAGCTCCAGCCTATAAAAGTCAGTACAACAGATATTTTATTCTTTGAGACTGTCTATAAGGTTAAATCAGTCAAAAGGTGGTTAAAGAAAGGACATAAACAGGGCACCATTATTAACATAAACATTTTCACAAACTGTGCATTTATCACAGCCATCATGATGGGTGGTAAACCCGTCTCTAAAACATTTATATCAGCCTATCTAAGCCAGAAAACATGGGCTGAATTTTTTCCCCCCATTTAGACTATATGCAAGTGACAACAAGTCTTATCTACTGTTGTCTTTTAATAGTCCACTGAACTGGAACCTAAGCTGATCTGATCTACTATCCCAAGGGAGAGAGAGCATGATGGACTTTGGAAAGTTTCTCACTCTTGTGTGCGGCTTATATCCTGAGGCAGCAGAGCTTGGACTCTATGAGACTACATTGTCCTTTTGCATCTCTTTTAAGGTGTATGTACCTCTAGGGATTCACTAAGATCCCAGCATGTTGTTATCTGCCCAGTGATATAAAAACAGATGTAATCATTCACTGTACCCTACCCTGCAGCAACAATCTACTGAAGGCAAAAGCCTCCTGTCAGAAAACAAAAGTACAGTGTGCACCTACAATATTGTCTCCGTAACAAAGTTAAAACTTGTTCTCTTTGGCACTAATAGTTGCGTGACCTTCTTGAACATTAACAAAGTGAGTGACTCACTTGTTGCTAAGATACTATGGTATTCAAACAGTACTTATTGTCAGAGGCTATTAAATCTGCCACTCAGTATAACTTTAGTCCAGTGAAGCGTCACAGACATGGTGTTGCGATGTTGTCAAAGCACATACATATACAGAGCCTCACATGCACGCCTCACAAATGTGACAAGAAGGTCAGATGGAGCAACCTTTTCATGTGACTGATACTCCTTTGTATTTGCTGTTGATCATTGCGGCTTTTAAAGCACTATTTTTTGTGCCGTGTGAAACACATTAAAGAACATTGTTGTAATGTGTGTAATGTTTATATTTATCAGTAGTTCAGTTTTAGATGTCCAGCCCCAAAATCCCACGGTACCATGATGCTGTCTATATTAGCTAGTCCGGGGGGTTTTAAATGCAAGAGAAACTGTAGGGTTTTGGGAAACAGTTTTTGTGTTTTCTGAGCAAAAATCTTCCTCTATGCTCATTAATTTCAATTATATATTCCTTTTCTCATTAAAGGAAGGAGCTGGAGATCAGCAGTACCAGCTCCAAACTAGAAGAAGAGGAGGCACTTAACTTTGGACTGCAGAGGAAGACCAAGGAGCTACAGGTAAGTTTGCATTTTGTTGTTTGTCTTCTGTCATTTAACACTAGCAGTCTTGTTTAACAATCGCATGGTGAGACCTAGCAGAAAGAAAAAAGAAATCACACACCCAAACAGGTGATATTAAATTTCACTTCAATTTTATTTATATTTATACAGCGCCAAATCACAACAAAAGTCACCTCAAGGCGCTTTATATTGTAAGGTAGAGCCTACAATAATACATAGAGAGAAAAACCCAACAATCATATGACCCCCTATGAGCAAGCACTTTGGTGACAGTGGGAAGGAAAAATTCCCTTTTAACAGGAAGAAACATCTGGCAGAACCAGGCTCAGGGAGGGGCGGGGCCATCTGCTGCGACCGGTTGGGGTGAGAGAAGGAAGACAGGATAAAAGACATGAAATGGAAGAGAGCCAGAGATTAATAACAAGTATGATTCAATGCAGAGAGGTCTATTAACACATAGTGAGTGAGAAAGGTGACTGAAGAAGAAACACTCAGTGCATCATGGGAATCCCCCAGCAGCCTATGCCTATTGCAGCATAACTCAGGGTCACCTGATCCAGATATAAAGTGGTAGTTATCCATAGAAATCTAAATCGTTTCCTGCACCAGGCTGTAAATATGCTTTTCAGTGTTGTAAGGTTGAGCATTTTAAAATGGGAGTCTAGTTGGACTGACTCATTTTGGAGTCTCAAGTGTTCATTAGCAAAAATGCAGTTTTTGGCACTTCTGCTTTGACCTCTCTGCGTGCTTACAGTTCAGTTCACTCAGATTCAAATAAACCAAGTTATCGTCATACTTGACTCTATGATATAGTATTATATAATATAACTGTTTGTGCTTTTTTTACATGACCAAGAAAAGCAGTCATGTCTTTGTTTGACCACTTAATGTTTTAGAAAGCAAAACAGTTCAAACAGATAAGTGTACCAATGTAAACCAGACTTTTGTGGCCCATGGCCTTACCCTTTGGTAATGATTTCTTGTTATCATCAATCATTTTTTAGCTATTTCCCAGAACAGGCTGAATGTGTTAGCTCAATGTGATGTTTCCACATTTGTTGCCAATGTCACTGACTCTGTCGCTCTTTCTGCTAGTAGCTGCAGCGCTGTTTACTGTCCATCACCTATGGCTCACACACTTAAAAGCATCTGTTTACTCTTGCAAAAAGCTTTTTTCACTAATGTCACGTTCGAGATAAAATACTGGTAGCTAAGTTGACTGAGCTCACGCACAGCACTGCTAAAAGACATGTGGAGTCCTTCCTTATTGGTTTGATAGTCATCAGCCAGACAACGGGGCTGGTATGCTCCTTTCCTCTGCAGCCTTTAATTTCTGAAAATGTTCAAAGAGCTATAAAGAACTTTACGTGTCCTGTGTGCATATCGTGATGAAATTTGCTCAACACTGAGCTGGCTTATCAAGTTAGTCATTACTAATCAACACAGAAAAGGTCTTTTAGTTACCTTTATAATAGTAACTGTAATATTTAGTTGAAGTGGCTGTGGCTTTTGTAGACTGGCTTCTAAGTGGAGTTAAAAGCTGTTAAAACTGTTGTTTTACAAAGACAAACAGTGAGCCCAAATGTAGGTTACAACACGGCAGAAAAAAGGCATTCCTGTCTTTTAGCAAAGCTGCTGGGCTCTGCTCTGTGATTGGAGCAGTCGCTTCAAGCTCCAAGCATGTCAGGAAATGGTTAGAACGCAGTGGCTACATCAAAAATGAACTGGGTAGGTCAAGTTTATTATGATCTACCAGCATGCATTGACTTTTTGACTTCCAGGTGAATAATTGCAAAGCATTATTACTGTTATAGATATTATATATGGCAGTAGATATTTACTATCAGCTGACAGTGACTCAGGGTTCAGAATGTTTTTACATCCTCTCATCTAGGCAAAGTGGATTAAATGCTAAAAAAACACCTTAATGTGTCTTATCACTAAATTTCACTTGAAGTATCAAAATTAAAAATACTTAGTCTGTGAGAAAATGTTATTGCTATATGATTCAAGACGCTGTTTGTGAGTCTGGAGTTATGTGACCTGATTTCCCTGAGACAGGAGGATCTAGTGATGGTCTCCAGAGGTGGCAGCCAATGATTTTCTGGGCAGTGTTAATTACTCTTTGTACAGCCCTCCTGTTGTCACTCGTGACCCTGCCTACCACAACACCCAGCCAGTAGGAGAGGACGCTCTCCACTGAGGAACAATAGAAGGCCAGAAGCAGTTGGGACGGGGGCGCCGAGTCTAACTGATTGTTACCGGTTGGCGAGGAAATCTTTGATCCAGGACCAGGTGGCATGTGAAGGTGGTCCAGTCTTTTGCTGAGGATGTCTGGGATTATTTTGTTGAATGCTGAGCTGTAGTCCATGAAGAGCATCCTTACGTTGCGCTCTGTAAAGGGTGATGGTGATGGCATCCTCCTTGGACCGATTTGCTCTTTAAGGAAACTGGTAGGGGTCGAGGGAGGAGGGCAGACAGTGTCTGATGTGCTGAGGCACTATCTGTTTGAGACACTTCACGACTACAGATGTGAGGGAGAGATAAAGGATGATAGAGTGAAAACCGTAAATCCCATCCACGACCACAAGTGCATCCACACTGCATATGCACATGAAGACACAGCAAAGTCATTTGGAAGTTTTGATGCTTTACGAGAAACAAAGATTTGTCGTTTAACTTTCAAAATAGTATTTCTCAACAAAAGATAGTGCTGCACCTCATTTGTCTGTCGATGACAGGAGAAGGACTGCTGAGTTATCACACTGTAAACTTCTTTGGAAGTAAATCTTTCTCACTGCAGACATTTGGGCTTGTTACAGCAGGAGAAACACAGGTGCAGCTTGTAAGATTATCGATGGATTTAAATATTCCAGTAAAACATGCCAGCCGACATACCAGTGCATCGTCAGGGAAACACCTGAATGCAAGTTGTAATTAATGGGGTTAGCTACACATTGTGTTTATTAAGTCAGCATGGGATAGTTCAATTGTGGAAATGTTTTTTAAACTTCTTTTCAAAATCTTTGCATGTAAGGTCAAAAGTAGCATCACTAACTGGTGATACTTTCAAAGTGTTGTTGAGTTGAGAGTGAGCTTGTTCATTGTTCCGTCTGAGCAACTATAGGAAGTACAAAACCAAAACTAACTATTTCACTGCATGCTAAACTGTGAGAAGAAATATTCCTTGTATTTATGTTAGGTTGTCTTGTGAAAATGTTGTTTAGTGATTGCTGCAGAAATTAGTCCTAAAACCACAAAATAAATTGGCCCTTTTTTTAATTCCAGCATTCCTTGTCCCAGAATCAAGGTTTGTTGAATGGGTTTTGATTTAGAGGCTTTAAATAATATGGTCTGTAGTTAAGACAAGCTTTACATATTTTGTTCTATAGGAACAAAAGCAAAAACTCTGCTTAATATGTTTATACAGAAATGGAAAAAATATCAAATGACCACCTATCATCCTTGTTCTGTAGCTCCATACAAGATCTTGCCCCTTATGAAGTGGACAGTTATGATAAAGGTGGTGAATTGGCACTAAACTACATGGGAGGAGTTGTTAATAATAGGAAGACAGTTGGAACTGTAGTCACCATAAACATCATTAATAACAGGCTACATCATAATAGGTTGAAATCTTAAAGCACCTGCAAAATCCCACTCCTCAAGAACGCACATGTACAAGAGCATCCTGAGTTTGTCAGTGAACATCTAAAGGATTCTGGGGCTGGGAGAAGGTGCTATAGATAGATAAATACTAAATCAAGGTCTTTGGCATCAACTCAACCCACTGTGTTTGGAGGAAGAGATAATATGACCCAAAGAACATCATCCAAATATGTCAAGCATGGAATTGGAAATATTATGCTTTGGGGATGTTTTTCTGCTAGGTGTAAAGGACGACTTCACCACAGTGAGGGGCCAATGAAAGCGGCCTTTTCTCAGCCAGAAAACCGAAGATGTGTCGTGTATGATCTTCCAGACCCAAATGACCCAAAACATACCCTGATGATGACGTTGGAGTAGCCTAACCTGTCTCTAACCTTAAGGATCACTTCTTACCTAAAAACTTTAAGCGAATGCGTATATTTGAACCTGTATATATACTTCTGACACTGTGTAGATAGGAGAAAATTCAACATAAATTCAAACCGGTGCATCCAGTCATTGCATGTCTAATGCTGGAAAAAGAACAGTACAAACAAATGATGAAGTGTACATCACATCTTTTGTACTAGATTACTGCTGTGTATTGGCTAGGCATGATAAAGTTAGCAGCTTATCATAGGCTTGTCTTATGTGTCTTTGGGTTTAGAAAAAACAGCAACATTTTTCAGTATTCAGTATTACTTTCAGCAGAGTTCAACATCTGGAGAGATGCAAAGTTTCATGGAGCTTTCAGTGACTGTGACCGGTATATGGACTAAAACCACAGCGGCCTTTGAGTGCAACAAAAAAGTGCCACCTAGCTGAACCTCAAATTTCAACAAAGCTAAAGGAAAAAGCCATCCCAGTTATTAACGAGTAATCTTTGGTGAGGCAGTGGAAAATCACCACAGCAGTGAGTGTATGCTGTACCACTAAAGACGGTGCAATTTAACTAACCATCTTTAGGATTGCAGGCACTGCAGAAGCAAGGGTAGAATAGCTATTTATTGTATGCATTATATTCTCTGCCAATCTGGGAAGTATATACTAATGTTTTTCTGCTGAATCTTTCAATGGCATGCAGATAAAATCAAACAAGTCTGAGAGCTTTTATCTGTGTCACTGGTGCATGTTGCAGATAATGTGTTTTGTCTGTGTCTGTCGTTGAGTTCAGAGAGAGAGGGAGTGTTATGGGTTCAGGTGGTGCTTCTCTGTTCTGCCAGTGCCTCTGGGAGCCTGATGTTTCCTCCAGAGTTTGTCAGTAGTGAAAATAAAGAGCTCCTTTGTATCTAATTTGAGGAGTGAAAGACAATCCATGTGTCTTTGAGGGTGCACATGTTTTCGCATTTACTGTAGCTTTGGCATCCTCTCACAATGAAGCTATTATATGTAAACTCCTCCTACTGATGAAGATGCAGGTGGACAGGCCAGCCAGCTGGACATCACCCACTGAGGTCTTTCCTTTGACGTAAAGGTTGCACGAATATGTCCACGCAAGCTGCTGCAGAATCAAAGAGACCGCTTTGTCTGTCGCCGATGATGAAGCCGCCTCTCCCTCTGTAGTATGCTGTAATTCAAAGCAGTTGGCCTAAAGAGAAAGCAGCCATGCAGCCTTGATTTCTTACAGCAAATGGTTTTATTTAGGGTTGTAAAACAGTTTACACTCAGTCACAATCTGAGGGTTATCACAATCTGTGAAGATAAAGCTCATTTTGTTTTTTTGTTTGGTCTGTAGCAGATGTTTTGCTGAAGGTGTTAGATCAGATTGGGCCACAGCGGTGATGAGAGTCTCGTATCCAGATTACGCTATTCAAGCTTTCTATTGTCCTCTCCCTTATAGCTACGTATGCTGGTCTTGTGTATAATATGGGAGCAAAGCATAGAATTAATCTTAGTTTAAACTGATAATACAATCACAATACCATATTTTGTTTGTAGACTGATAACTACTGGAAAAACTTTTTTTTTCTTGTTTTTCACCCCTAAAAACACGAGCTGTGTGTACTAAGAGTCATCGTATTGCTAAGAGGTGTTTCTCAGACAAATGTTCTGACAAATGAGCACCTGTGGTGAACAAGTCTTACTTCATACTTAGTACCAATAATTTCGTCTATATCTTTACCTATAAAAAAAATAGTTGCGACCATGTCTGTGGAAGCTGTCAGCAACAAAAACTTTACATCTGGAGTCTGTAGGTGGCCATCTGGTGGCATTTAAAACAACAAAGCATGCAGATTCCTGCACCATTGCTGTGATCTGAATTATGCTAGTGTGTGCGAACAGTATAGATGCAGGGAAGGCCTCCCAGTTGTTCAGCTGGGGGGGTCTCACAGGATATCACTGCCCACACTGCTGACCATCCCCTCTGACACAAGCATGGAGACATCTGCACTGAGGCCACATCTGATTGCAATTTATAGACAATTATTATGGTTTCAGATTGAAGAGGGGAAAAAGAAAACCCTAAGCACAAGCAATTATGGAGATCAAACCCTGCAACCATTCTCAGCAACAACGGCCTAATTCTGTTGTTTCCAGCTCACTGCTTCAAGACTAGAGACATCTTTGTGGGTTCATTTAGAATCAGTGTCTAAATTCTTCCTGCTACACATAAGTGGCCAGAATTACCCATGTAGCCTGGCTCAGACTTCTTAACACTCTTGGTGCACGATGTGTTTTTTACAATTGTATTAGAGCCACAATGTTTACTTTGAGGGTGGTTTGAGGCTCTGGAAAAGAGGAATTTAACAAGAAACATATTTGAGTGGGGAACTGTCAGTGAGAGAAAAAGAGGCTGTGCATGCATAAGGGGGTGTGGACAGTAAAGTGCCGGAGGGGATCGACAGTGAAGGTATGTGTGTGTGTGTGTGTGTGTTTGTGTGTGTGCGCACGTGCGTGTCTCAGTGTGTGGGACACTCAGTCAGTCATTCAGTTGGGCTGCTGCTGCCTCACGATGGCTGTTCTCTCTGCAGAGGCGCTCCGCTGGCACGTGAGTTTTTATTTCTGTGTTTCTGTTTAAACGTATCAAAAATGATAAAAGGAATAAGTTAATGTCTCTGTGTGTTGTTTTTAGGCATTTAAAAATATTCTGTTGTTTATAATCAAAGATGGCACAAGTACAGGCGAGCTCTCCAACTCTTGTCTGTACACATAGTTTACAGTACGTTTGTTATGGTTTGTTGTTTGGGGAGATTTAGGTGCTGTGGCTTTCACCACTTGAGTGAAGTGGAGGTGTTGTTGCTGTGAGTGGCCCTGGGCCATCCGGCATGTCAGACACACTTCCTGACATTGAAACATAGATACAAATTGTAGATAACCAAGAGCATGACTCATCTTGGTAGAGTGCAGCCGTGCTGGGAAGCGAGCAATAAACTTTTATTAGTAATAAAAAAAGCAGTTTTGGCATGACATAAGTGGAACAGAAATCATCTGTGGATGATATACTTCTGTTACATCATTCTGATGATTTTGAACAGAATCCAGTAAAATAAAATTCAAAGCACAGTAGGTGTACACAGAGGGCTCTACGTATACTGTAAGCTGTGGTAGAGGGAGTTGAGTTTTCACTAAGAATAACAGTTTGTATCATGGGAGGATCTTTACCATAATAAAATGTATATAAGTGTGTAAAATGCCTTGAGGCAACTGTTGTTGTGATTTGGTGCTATATAAATAAAAGTGAAATGCCTTAAGAGGACACTGGATATTTAAAGTTCAAAAGCAAGAGTGTTTAAAAAAATGACACTATGTTTTCTATACATTATAACATATTTAGTGCCGTTAGCCTGTGCTGAGGTCTCATGAACCTGCTGGGAAGCTCATATTTTATTACACAAGTGATTTGAATTTGAATCCCACTTCTGACACCAATTGTAACGACTGTGGGTTTGGGGAGCTGACTGGCTCCCCAAATTTGAATTTGAATTTGAAATTTGAATTTGAATTTGAAATTTGAATTTGAAAAGTGTGTGTGTCCTGTCCTTCTTTTCCCCCCTGAACCCCAAACCGGATGGAGCAGATAGTAAAATGGGAGTTTCCCTTCCCACTGTTACCAAATTCATGCTCATAAGGAATTGTTTGATGACTGGGATTTTCCCTGTAATATTTTGGAGTCTTGACCTTAGAATATAAAGTGCCTTGAGGTGCTTCTGCAACTGATTTGAATTGAATTGCATGTAAAAATCAAACGTATCATACAATTCACATGCATTTTACATGCAATCATAATAATTTCTCCTCATATCTAAATGTAAACTTACATGAAGTGATTGAACAGAGTAGATATTCCTGGTTTTGTTTTGTTTACGCTGCATAATTAAATATATTGTTGTATGCTGTGCGTGTTATGGGCTCACACAGAGCAACAAACAGTTATGGCCACATTTATGTCAATGGTTAATTTAGATGTCTTTGGACTGTGGGAGGAAGCTGGAGTACAGTGAGTATGCTGACACAGGAACAACATGCAAAATCTGCCCAATATATTTTGGATATTCATTTATTATTTTTATGTTGGGCCAATAAGCTCATTATTTTATTTAAACCCAAAGTTGCATATTTAATCTTTTTGGCTCCATGGCAGATAGATAGATAGATAAAACCCTCAGAGGAAGTGCATAACATGAAGAAGTTGAAGGGTGGTTGTTTGGCACTGATCGACATCCTTTACCTGTACCAACTATGCACGATTGTCATTGTTCTACATAACTATGGCTTTATAAACAAAGTATCCTCTGCGATGAAATAGCTGAGTGTTCCAAAAATAACTGAAAAAGCTTTGGTTATTTTCAGAGGTGGTCAGTTCACTGTAAAAAATAGTGCTGTTGTTGGTTTGCAAGGAATAAAGAATGTGTTGTGTAAAGGAAGCGGTTGTGCGTATTTAAAGATTTGTGTCATCATTAAAATGTTTTAAAAACCCTTGAATTGAGATGATGAAAGCAAGTTGTCACTTAGAATATGTGCAGTCATTTATTTAAATACTGTATATTCAAGGTAGATGCATAGTTGTAATTCATGCATGCGCATTAAATGGTACATATTAGTCATTCTTCATGATGATAACATGCTTGCATGGGAAGTAATTCAGCTGCTGTTGAAAAAGGTTACAAACCTGGAAGGAATAAACCTTACAAAATATATAGAAGACACCTGAAAATGATTTTGACTGATAAAATACTGCATGTATTCAGACCTTGATGCATCACTTACTTCAGGCCAGGACCATAAAACCAAGAGCAAAAAACCCCCAAAACAGAACAAAAAGAAAAAACACAACAAAAATTCTTCGAATTTCATGGAAATGGCAGTGCTGATGATTTTTGGTCTCGGTGACCGGACATAGAACACCCAGCCTGGGGTCAAAATACAGATAATGACGGTGGCTACAGGACATTCTTGCTCTAAATTGCTACCTGAGGAAAAAGCCAGAGGCGTGCCAAATCCCTAAAGAAAGTGGAGTGTATGAGAAGGACTCACCACACACACAAGTGCTGCCTTGAAATAGCAAACAGTCTGTGGAGATGACGCCCCGTTTGTTCTCTGTCAAAATTACACATGTACTGTGAAAGCAGAGGAAATATCCTCCCCATGTTTTATTGTATTTTATTAGTTCAATGTTCAGGCCTGTGGTACTGAAAGCAAATTAAGTTTTCTTGTTTTGGTTTTTTTAAGTATGCACCTTCATCCATTTCAATATCTCTCATTAGGCTCGCATCGAAGAGCTGGAGGAGGAGCTGGAAGCAGAGCGGACCATGAGAGCCAAGGTACTGTATATCTACACACTTGTGAGGAACTGTGTGGCTTCGCTCTTTAGTGCACATGAAACAAAGAGCAGTTAAATCTGTCTGTCCTTCTGTGTGGTAGATAAGAGGAAACCAGATAACTTGGTTCTGCTCTAATGTTCAGGCCTGTGGTGCTTAGAGCAGTTTAAAGATTGAAGGGGACGGTAAATGAAGAAGAACAGACGAAAACAGTGCTGATGTGCTGGCAGCTGGTGGGGTACATGTGCTGGTGCTGTGCCTCTGGTCACCCCAAACTATCTGCACCTGTGATAATAAAAGGGGGTTGAAGAGACCTTGTGTTTCTGATTAACATAGAGGGAACCCATAGGCGTGGAGGGAGCCCCGACGTCCTTTTTCTTACTTTCCCAGATCGTTCTCTGTCTTCACACACCCATATCAGTGCACCTTCTGTAAGCCCTTTGCCTTGCTCCTTCAAGTGGAAGAATAGGGCATTTTTTCCATCCATCTTACATTTGACTGCAATAAAGTGTCCCAGATGACTTCTTTCTAATGCATCATTTTTTCAAAGGAGCATGTCTTTGCCATAAAAAGCTGATACCAAGGTGGCTCTTTAAGTGCTTGCTGTTTCAAACAAGGACTTATAGTATGTGTGTGCTAGCATGACAGAGCCCACTTAAGAGCGTACTGTAGTTACAATAGGAAAAGGCAGAAATGCAAAGGCATATATTTCACTCCAAGTGGTAAATAGAGTGACAGCTGGCCTGAGGGTGTGTTTTTCCCCACTCTGGGTGGTATTCTTAATGGTGCTAGCTGAGACCCCTTCAGCCTCTGAAGCTGCAGAGCAGCGAAGAGGCAGGCAGAGACATGCAAGGTCTTTATCTGTTCCTCCGTCTTCAGAGCAGCTCAAATACAGCATACCTTTGCTGCAGACAGGTTCGCTATTGTTAGGCTCTGCTCCTCGGGTCCCACTGGGGAGATAGAATTATGAGATAGAGGCTGACAGACAGCACTGTTTTTTCTAGGATCCTCTCCTGTCTGGAATGCCATGCGGTTTTACACACACACGCTCACACACACTATATAATTGTAAAGTAGCATGTTCTCACACACCCAGGAACACACATAGTATGCATAGCATTCAGTCAGTACACAAACACTTTATCTTTAAACTGGAAATCACACATTCTCCATAGAAACATGAACAACAAAAATTAACTTAAAAGTCAGGTGACTACGTAGAATATGAAAGGGGTTAAACTCTTGGTTATTATCCAGTTTAAGCTTAAGGGTTGTCAAATTGTTTAGCTCCTTTGCTTTTTATCTTGGGTTTACTAAGTGAATCCTTATAGTTTTGATGCAGTCAGGAATTAAAACAGATAAGTATGACCTCACAATTATCTTGCCAAAGACGCAACTTTAAATTGTTTTTCACTGTTTTTGCTTGCGACAGATGCCCAAAGTAGCCAATTTATGGAAACCAAAGAGCTACCAATGTCTTGATAGCTAATATTGCTAATTTATTAGCAATTAAAGTCAAATTTATTCAGTATAATTTTTTTTAATATCTGATGCAGATGATGTCCTAATGTGAAAAGTAAAGCTGCTTCACGATTTAGGAGCAGCAAGCTGCAAATGGCACTTGATGCTATGCTTAAAACCCCCAACATTACCATTCTTTACTAAGTGTAATATTCTGCTCTGGGTACTCGCTAACATTTTTATGAGATTAGATCTGATCAGATCAGAGCCAAAATAATAAATTTGCTTGGTTCTTGTCCCAGATGCTCCCTCGCCCCAGCAGATATTGTGCCTCACCCTATCCATAACATCATCCTCTATCACACCAACCCTCTGCATATCCTCCTTCACTATATCCATATCTCCTTTGGTCAGTATACCCACAATCCCACTCTGCACATCTAAAAACAACCTCAACCTTGTCTCCCTTAACTTTGTCTCCAAACTGCTCAACCTGAGCTGTTCTTCTGACCTTCTCATTTCTCATCTTGTTCACTCTCAATGAAATTCTGAACATCTTCAGCTCTGCCTAGCCTCACCCTGTCCAAACATGTCAAACTGTCCATCATAATTGGAACCAAGAAGGAGCTCACCAGATCTTTGATATAATCTTACCTCCATCTTTCACTCCTACCATACATATGTCCTGCACCACCCTAACATACTTCTGTGCCATGCAGTATCACAGCTCCTCTCTTGGCACCCAATCATATGCTGTCTCAGAATCCACAAAGACACCTTCTCAGTACTTCTCCATGAACACTCTGAAAGCAAGCATCACACCTGTAGTGCTCTTTCTGGGCATGAAGCCATACTTCTGCTCACTGATAGCCACACTTCTATTTAAGCTAGCTCTTTTCCATGGTTTCATGGTATTTCTCATCAATTCTATCCCTCTGTAGTGACCAGTGTTGGGTAAGTTACTTTAAAATAGTAACTTAGTTACATTACTAGTTACTTCTCTCAAAAGTAACTCAGTTACTTCAAGTTACTCGTTACTTTCAAAGTAACTAGTTACTAGGGAAAGTAACTTTGGTTTTACTCAGAATTCTCTTGTTAATGTGTTTCTTCCATAACTTTGCCAGTCTTCTAGCTTGCTTACTTGCCACAAGTGCACTGTGCCACCTACCAATAGAAAGGAAAAGATAATGTGCATATTTCCACGAGAGAAATCCCACGCCTGGACCGTCATTGACTGCTGCCATGATTCTAGCCTACGTCACAGCGTCATGTGCACCTTTTACATCCAACACAAAAACTGCAGTCGTGGTGCTTTCGATTGTACTCAGAACTCGGAAATTCTGCCTTCTGAATAGGAAGATGTAGGTAACACCAGACTGCAGATGAGCTGCATACAGGGCTGGACTGGGACAGAAAATTGGCCCGGGCATTTTGACACCATTATAGGAAAAATCATAAAGCCTTTGAATGAAAACAAACACTGTTGTGACAGTGATGTTCACTGTTCTGATGGTATATATGCATCAATCTATCAATCGTTTGTTGTAAGATTCAGATAATTATTTTTTAAAAGCTAGACATTTTAAATGAGAATAAGAAAGAAAAGTATTTCTTTGTGCCCCCCTCTCCCTGTTAATGCCCTACCTGGCCCCCTGGCAACACTTTGCTAGATCCGCACCTGCACAGTTACCAGCTGTCAGCTACCTAAAAAAGGATCCTGGTGTTATTTGTCTCTCAGAAACAGTTCATAACTTCCCTTCAACTCATTCATGTCACCTAAAAGGTAAACCTGTTTCTCCATCACCTGTTCAGCTCTGATGATCCAGTAAGGACATCTCCTGGTTTCATCTTCATGTTTCCCTCTCACCAGATAACCAAACCATATCATGACCAGCAGCTTTACAGCTGTGGCTCCAGCAAACATCAGCTGATACTAGAAATTAATATTAAATAAATTCTAACAACAGCTGATCAAGCTTAAACGTGCTGCTGTTGTTTAGCGCGACATCCGCTGGTTTCCTCTTTCGGCGCAAAGTGAGCGATAAACAAACAAGAGAGCCGATCAGCTGATCATTGATCAGTTTCATGATTGAAGTAGAAACGGGAGAGGGAGGGGAGAGAATGAAAGAAGAAGAGGCAGCTGTGCAGCAAAGACACAGAATAACTCCAGCTTTGTGCCTTTTTCATTGTAGCTGAATTACGGGACAAACTGTTCCTTTTCACCTCAATAAGAAACGCGTAATATTTTCTCTGAATACCAGACGGGACGGTTGGCAACTCTAATAACTTATGAACAAAATAAAGTTCAACATCATTAACTTCATAGCACCCACCCAGCTGTATAGAAACTCCGTCATGCTAGCTAGCACGCAGTACGGAAAAAGTCAGCATAACGAAAATAAACTCCACCTAAACTTGGTTCATATCTGACCCAGAGAGACTGCAGGTCATAACTTCTTACCTGAAGTTCAGTTCACACTTGGACCGGCGGCCGCCTCGGGTCTCTTTTCCTTCTGCGTCCCTTTTCCTTCATCCACCTGCTGCCTCCACCACTTGCTAATGTTACTGAATCTGTGGAAGCTCCGCGATGCCACCACACGAAGTAACGAGTAACGACCCTATCTAAATCCCAGTAACGAGTAACGCGTTCCTGATTTTGGCATAATAACTAGTTACCGTGCTCGTTACCACAATAATAACGTAGTTACTGTAACGCGTTACTTAATAACGCGTTAGTCCCAACACTGAAAATAAGTCATGCTAAACTGTCACTAGCAGGACTTTCATTGAAATTATCTCATTTTTGTGTTAAATTGGTCCCTGCTTGTAACTTACAGAAGATGATGGACATGTTGTATTGTATAAAGACTAACTTTGGAGAAAGCATTTGGCTCTTTCAATATATACTTACTTACTATACCATATATACTTCTCTAATATAGAAAAAGAGACGTATACAAACCTGTATCTTTTTGGACAATAAGATTAAAACCATTGAAGTAAACATACATTTAGTTTTGTTTCAGGATAGAACATCTCACCAGTCAGGGGTTTAGTTTTTGGAGACTGAGTAAATGAACACTAGAAATCACTTATGCAAACACAAATTGGCTGACTGCACAGAGACACACTCCTACTCCTTCATGCTCTTGTGCAAATGAAGATAAATCTCCTATCTCTAACAGAAGGGCACTTTAGGAGCACTGACCTTCCATTCCACCTCCGCACAGTGTTAACCCTCGACACAGAGCCAGCGTGTGGACACAAAGGGCTGGGTTCAGCTGTGAGCTGTTTTTTGAAGATTTAGCTGGAGGAGTATGGGGTGGAAGAGGAGGCCCCCAGTGAGAGTCATCTATTTTCTGGCTGAAGTGTGCTGACGGCCGTGCCTCATTGCTTCCATCAGGGGGCCCCGAGACTCTGGCTTTTGTGGGTCAGTCTCAACATCTACGGCTGTCGTTAAACTGGCCGTAAAACACGTGTATAAAAAAATAAGTGTTTTTAATTACAGAGCACCAGTTGTTGTTTGTGCATATAATGGACCAGTATAATAAACTCATTCCATGTGTGCTGTTCCATGTTTGAGCATGAGATGAGGGTATGTACTGTCAAGTTTTATTACACTGTGTATAAACTGATATATAATCAGTTTTCTTCTACTAGTGGAGCCGGGATTTTGTTTGTAGAAGGTAATCATAGTTAATGATCTTATGTGTCTCATAATGTCAGAACATATCTATTCTTAGTACTTTATTTATATTATATCAAAAGCGTTACCAGAAATCTAGAAAAAGTTTGGGTATATATGCTGATACTGCTTCAGTAAGCCACTTAAGTTTTAGGACTTTTTGGTAGTTGTCAATCCATCCATCTTCTGTTTATCTAGTGCTGGGGGCTGCTACCTAAGTATATAAGCCAAAACGTCCCTGTCCTTAGCCACCATCTTTAGCTTATCCAGGGGGAACCAAGGTATTCCCACGCCAGCCAAGAGATGTAATCTCTCCAGCGTGTCCTGGGTTTGCCCTGAGGCCTTCGCCTGGTGGGTGATGCCTGAACCACCTCAGATAGCTTCTTTCTACTCAGAGCCCCTCTGAATAACTGAAATCCTCACCCTGTCTGTAAGAGAGACACCAGCCACCTGTCAGAGAAAGCTCATTTCTGGTGCAGGTATCCACAATCTCTAAATCAACAGCTTCACTTTTACGCTCGTCCACGTCACTGCAGCTGTGGCCCCAATCCGTCTGTCAGTCTCCCGCTCGCTCTTAAACAACGACCTGAGATACTTGAACTCCATCACTTGGAGCAGCAATTTGTCCCTGACCCAGAGAGGACGCTACAACCTTTTCCAGCTGAGGGCAGAGGCCTCAGACATAGAGATGCAGATTCTCATTCACTTCATTTCAGTTTTCAGTTAAATTTTCGACAGCTGGTATTAGTAGATATAATGAGAAAGGAGTCACTGGTAGTGAAAGGAGTCACTGGGAGGTAACTGTAGAGTTTCTCTGGTTTGAATCCTTTAGCTTCCTTTTGCCCATTATTGTTGCTTTATTACCTTTATTTTTATAGTCACTATTTTCACTCCATTAGCAGCAGAAAGCTGTTTTCAGCACCAAAAAGCAAACAGACAAAGTTAACAACTAGCAGCTAAAACACAAGATTTTCTGATGAGTGGTTCAAACCAAAACATAATAAGAAGAAGGGTGAATCAAAGTGAGGTAAAGAGCCAAAGTATAAAGAGTATAAAGGGTTTCAGATCCCATAATGATGGACAGATAGCTCACGGCACTTTTACCCAGAAATCTTTGCATTATATTGTATAATTTTGTTGTCCGATATCCTTCTTTAACTGTTGTGTTTATGGCAGGTGGAGAAGCAGAGAGCTGATCTCACCAGAGAACTGGATGATCTCACAGATCGCCTTGAAGAAGCAGGAGGAGTCACCGCCTCACAGGTAAACTACCAGCACACAAACACTGTCGAGCTGCACACTTCAGGACTACATAATTTCCCTCATAAATAATCCCAGATTGTACAGCTAAATGCTAGTACACGAAGAAGATTTCCAGGGCACTGCCTGGAAAATCTAACTTAAATTACTTCCTGTGTGTGTCGAACAGATGGAGGTGAATAAGAAGCGAGATGCAGAGCTGCAGCGCCTGAGACGAGACTTGGAGGAGTCCTCTGCCCAGTCTGAAGCTCAGGCTGTGTCTCTGAGGAAGCGGCACAGCGACGCCGTCACAGAGCTCACAGAGCAGTGTGAAGCTCTGCAGAGGACCAGAGCCAAACTGGATAAGGAGAAGCAGAACCTGAGGATGGAGGTGGATGACCTAGCTGCTTCACTGGACAGTTTACAGAAGGCCAAGGTCAGGATCTGAGATCACATGGACCTTATCTGTATTTTGAACAAGACAGCAACGTCACAGACTTTTGTAATTGCCTTGAGTGTGACCTAATGTGCTGTGATGTTACTGTGCCCCAGGCATCCTCTGACAGCCAGATGAAGAAGCTGGAGGAGCAGCTGTCTGAGGCCAACAGGAGAGGAGACGACCTGCAGAGGACGCTCACTGAGATCAGTGTGGCCAAGAACAGACTCACAGGTAAAACAATGTTACACCTGTGGGACATGAGCAATTACAGAAAGTCATTCAGAAATCCCATTTTCCCATCCTGTCAGTGGCTGTGGCTCAGGCGTTAGAGCAGATCAGCTACTGACTGGAAGGTTAGTGGTTCGGTCCCAGTCTGCATGCCTAATGACCTTGAGCAAGGTACAAACCCAGTTGCAAGTTTTCTTAATCAGTTTCTTTCTGTCTTACAAGTAGGCAAAGCTTGATGCATATACTTTAAGGTTAAAGTGATCTTCTCCGGGATGTTACATGCAGCCTTAATTCACTAAAACTGGCTCCCAGTAGATTTTGTGCATGTAAAAATAATATATTTTGATGACAACTAGTTAACGATTGACACAAAAGATGGTGGTGGTATGAACTCATATTTCATATTCATATTTTAAGAATAAAAAAGATCCGTTGTTAGGAAAAAAGACTGTCAGTAATTTCTAAAAAATTTTTGAGTAATTCTTTCTTTTATATTTTGCCAACGACAAACCTGACTGACTAAGCCCTCCTGACCACTTGTCCTCAGGAGATTTGGGAAAAGATCTAAAAAGCAAACTATTTAGGCAGAAAACGAATGTGTTGTTAGGATAAGATCAAGTATGCATATGTACATTTTAATTACATTAAGTTTACCAAAGCAGGAAGGAAGGTCAATCAAAATTAGAACAAATCCCAAATGAGAGTAAAGCACCAGAAAAACTGCAGATGTGTCCTCTAATGCAACACGATCACATCTTTCATTTAAGACTCTGAGGACCTTGTCTCCAGGTTTTCTAGTGAAAATGTCTCCAAGAAGTCTCGCAGAGACACTGACATGGTGTCTATTTGACACAGCATTTTATGCTACACTAAGACATTACACAGCTCTTTTTGCATTTCTCCCATATGAGCTCATAATAATATAAAATATTATTTTTCGAACACTGAAATAAAATAAATGTAACTTCCTGGAAGACGTGTCTTTGCTTTGCCACCACGTTGCTATTCTATATGAACGTCTTAAACTGCATCTGCCTTTTGTAGCTAAATAATCCCATTGTTTGTGTATGGTGTCTGAATTCTGCTGCATGCTACAGTGCATCATTAACCGGTGCTCCTGTGTGTCCTGTCAGCTGATAATGCCGACGTGAGTCGACAGATGGAGGAGGCAGAGACCAGAGTGAGCCAGCTGACCCGATCCAAGACTCTCCTCCAGTCACAAGTGGAGGAGCTGAAGAAACAGCTTGATGAGGAGGTCAAGGTCTGTGTTTTGAACATAAAGCAAAAACACATACTTTTTGTCTGTTTTGCAGTTTAAAGTAGGCTTATTCAATAGAGTTAGTTACACAAACTTAGTATTTAAAACTTTTCTACTATTATAGCGTGTTCTGTGAATGTGGTTGCCTTTGTGAGGCTATTAGACTGATTGTTTTTGGTAAGATTTGGGAGAGAGTCTAGAGAGGTGGAGATGTGCGCTGGAGAGGAAGTCAGAAGAAGCAAGACAGAATCTATGTGCATGGGAATGAGAGCGAGGCAGGTGGGATGCTGGAGACACAAGTGGAGAGGTATTGTAGGTGGATGATTTTAAACACCTCGGGTCAACCATCCAAAGTAACAGGCAAGTGCACCTCTACTGTGCACAGGAGAGGTGAAGAAGAAACTGCAGACAGGATGAAGCAGGTGGAAATGAGTGTCAAGGTTGATTAATGGACAATCTTCGGATTTAGTCGGTCTGGTGAAAGGTAATGGGGAAGTGTGAGTGTGAGCCTCCTTGTCTAAGAAGAGTATTATGCATGCAATCATAGATGATCAGAATCAGAATCACCTTTATTCGGCTAAGTTTGTGTACACAAAGAAGGAATTTGACACTGGTACACTTTACTCTCAGCATATGAAATGTTTCAAATATGCAATTTTAAATATGCAATATATATAGACATACAAATAGTGAGTGTAATCAAGAAGAGACAAAAAGATGGGCAGACTAACCGACACCTCTATGTCCCAAACGGATGTGTCATTTTATCAAAGCTTTGTACGTTAGTTCAGCTTTTATATTGTGCTTGTGCTCCAAACAGGTTAAAAAACCTTTTAACAACCATGAGTGAAGTGAGTCAGTGTGTTAGCACAGATTTGTGTTACATTTCTGGGCTTTACACTGTGCTCAAAGTGTGTCTCTTCGCTGGTGTTGCCAGTGTAAGCAGGGGGTCAGCAGCACTCTGAGCTCAGTGCGGCAGGACTGTGAGGTGCTGAGGGAGCAGCTGGAGGAGGAGCAGGAGAGCAAGCAGGAGATGCAGCGCCTCGTCTCCAAACTCAACAGTGAGGTGACGCACTGGAGGACCAAACACGAGGCCGACACCATCCAGCATGCAGACGAGCTAGAGGAGACCAAGTACGTGGTGTTGATACTGGCAGCTATCATCTTCATCTGGCGAGGTGTGATGCCTTGAATTGAGCCTGTAATGTGTCTCAGAAGTCCAAATCATACGTGTGTCACAGGAAGAAGCTGGCAAGCAGGCTTCAGGAGGCTGAGGAGGCCGTGGAGGCCACCCAGGCAAAATTTTCCTCACTGGAGAAAACCAAGCAGAGGCTGCAGGGAGAGGTGGAAGAGCTCTGTATGGACCTGGAGGAGGTAGACAGAGCGGCTCGTTATATACTCATTTATTTGATGCCTTGCCATAAAGCTTTGGTGTTATAGCAGTGTATGGTCCCTGCCTTAGGCCAGCAGCTGTGGGCAGGCTCTGGATAAGAAGCAGAGGGTCCTGGAAAAGCAGCTTGGAGACTGGAAAGAGAAGTGTGAGGAGCTGGTTGCCGAGGTAGAGGGCTGCCAGAAGGAGAGCAGGCAACACGCCAGCGAGCTCTTCAAACTCAAGACGGCTCATGAAGAGACTCTGGAGCAGCTAGAGGCTCTGCGCAGGGAGAACAAGGCCTACCAGGGTATGACGGCGCACATGTGAGGGCTGAATGAACATACAGCTGCCTGTCTTGGATTGCCTCATATGCAAGTTCTTCTTTGTCCCAAAGAGGAGGTAGCAGACCTGACAGAGCAGCTGTCCGATGGAGGCAAGAGCGTGCATGAGCTCCAGAAAGCAAAAAAGAAAATTGAGATGGAGAAAGAAGAGCTCCAGGCCTCGCTGGAGGAATCTGAGGCCGCACTGGAGGTGAGTGCTTTATCAAGTCTAGATTTGCTCCAATATTTGAAGCTTGTCGTTTGTAAATTGTGCGTTTCTTCTTCATTCCTCCGGTTTTGCCAGGCTGAGGAGACCAAAGTGCTGAGGCTGCAGCTCGAGTTGTCTCAGGCGAAAGCAGACCTGGAGCGCCGACTACAGGAGAAGGAGGAAGAGGCGGAGGCTGCGAGGTACCTCAGCTTCCTCTCATCCTTCATGTTTCTCTGCATTCTGTTTTTCTCCACCATAATGTTTCTTTTTAAAGTTTGCAGATAATACACAGTTACACATGACACTGGAACAGGGTTTAGTCTATTTAAACTTTGGGTAACTTTCCCCCTTGATGTGGTTCGTTTGTGCAGAAGTGAACATGGTAATTGCACTCTAGTGCAAACCAAATAAGCCACACTGAGACCCTTTGAAAGAGGTGCTCGTGGTCTAGTCCAGCCAAATCTAGAGCAGCTGGTTTTTGGTAAGAGATCCAGCCCAACTACCAGGTGTACGCTCCAAGTCTAAGTGGCTAACTCTGATGAGCATAATCATTAGCTTCTTAATTTGTTTCCTTAAGTAAGCATCTAAATCTAGAACAGAACTTTTTCTCAAAGTTTTTATGAAAGCTAAAGATTCATGAACACAGAGGAGAATGAACAGAACCCTTAAGTGGCCATTAGAGCTCATTTTTGGCACTTATCTTTATTTTGCTGTTTATCTAAGACAATGTTTTTCATCTTGTTCCCTCATGCCCAACGTTAGAAAAAGCCACCAGAGGGCGTTAGAATCCCTGCAGGCCAGTCTGGATGTAGGGGTGAAAGGGAAGTCGGAGGCACTGAAACTGAAGAAGAAACTGGAGGCTGACATCAATGAGCTGGAACTGCAGGTGGACCTGCTCACCAAGAGCAACACAGAGCTCAGCAAGAACAGCAAGAAGATGCAGCAACAGATCAAGGTCTGTTCACAACATTCGGCAAGTACAGTAAGTGTTTTCTACACCACCCTGCTCACAGAGCAAGTGTCTGTCACAGGAGCTGCAGGCTCAGCTGGAGGAGGAAGTGAGGAGCCACGAGGAGTGCAGGGAGGAGCAGGTGGCCATGGAGCGACGCTGCTTTCTGCTGGTCAGCGAGGGTGAGGGGACCCACGCGGCCCTGGAGAGCGCCGAGAGGGCCCGAAAGGCTCTGGAGATAGAACTGCAAGAGTCCGGGGAGAAATACAGCGATCTCAACAACCAGGTATTACACGGTGCCTCTGCTTCTGTTTCACTCATTCTAACCGGACCCACATACACTCACAGACTTCCTGATGTGTGTCCAGTTCCAGTCGGCTCTCAGCGGGAGGAGGAAGCTGGAGGTGGATCTCCAGACTGTGCAGCAGGAGCACGAGGAGCTCCAGGCCGAGATGAGAGGATGCACAGACAAAGCTAAGAAGGCCACCTGTGAGGTAAAACACATGAGATGACTCCATGTCGAAGCACACAGCAGATTAATACAGACGAGGTCGGTAACGCTGGAAACGGATGTTCTGTTCTGTCAGCTTGCACGAGTTGGGGAGGAGCTGCGTCTAGAGCAGGAGCACACGCTCCACCTGGAGAGAGTGAAGAAAGGACTGGAAGCCCAGATCAAAGAGATGAGCAGCAGACTGGAGGAAGCTGAGCAGATGGCTCTGAAAGGAGGAAAGAAGATCATCCAGAAGCTGGAGGGAAAGGTACACACAAACATGTCAGAATGCCTGAACTGTTTCGCTTCTTTTTAGCCTCACAATGTTGGAGCTGTGAAGCAACTGCTCTGGGATATGTGCAGTTACTTTAGCTAGTGTGGTCACGAGTATCCCTGCTATAAGTGTCTGCACAGAAGAAGTACTTACCTGTTAGACTTATAAAGTAATTCAATGTGTAAAGTCGATTAATCATCAATACTGCTGTAGTTTAAATTTCTTCCAGAAGAAAATCTTGCTACAGGGCAGGCTTCATGAAAATGCTGCCTCCTGGAACTTATTTGAACCGTTACCCTAAAGTACATAAAAACATAAAAAGTCAGACCTGCAAGAAAATCCTCCTAAAGGTGATGTTTCTAAACCATTCTTTATTTTTACAATATAATAAAATGATATAAAAACTAATTAGAGGGATTAAGGATTTATATTTACATGCTAGTGGCTAGCCATTTGCACATGCCTTTGCATGTAGCACACTGGCATATGCAGAAATATGACAAAACAAAGTTATGAGCTGTATGTTATTGAGTATTGGTTGTCTGGCCTGCAGTACATTTCTGCTCTTATGGAACTTTTGACAAATAACAAATTGTAACAGAGTGTGTCTTCACTAAACACTCAGTGGATAAATATGAAGCCTTCCTGCACACAATAGTAGATACTCTTTGCATGCAGGTGAAGGAGCTGGAGCTGGAGCTGGAGTCTGAACAAAAGCGGCACGCTGAGACAGTGAAGACGCTGCGGAAGAACGAGCGTCGGCTGAAGGAACTGCTGTTCCAGTCGGAGGAGGACCAGAAGAACCAGCAGAGGATGCAGGAGCTGGTGGAGAGGCTGCAAAACAAGATGAAGGCCTACAAGAGACAAGTAGAGGAGGCCGTACGTCACCTCATCCTCTTACTCTGAACACGTTTCCAAGCATGGTGTTTGTGGGCTTTAACTCACACTGCTGTCACTTCAGGAGGAACAAGCTAACATGAACCTGGCAAAGTACAGGAAGACCGTGCACGAGCTGGATGATGCCGAAGAGAGGGCGGACATTGCTGAATCAGCGCTCACCAAGATTAGGACCAAGAACAGAGGAAGCTTCGGCAAGGGATACTCCTCCGTAAGTATTCTCTGGAACAGTATATTATCAGGTGTATTACGCGGTTTATTAAATAATAACTCCATGTTAGCCTCTTCTACTAAGTACTTGTTCTGACTCTAAGGCCTGTGTCTGTTCTAACAGGGTTACAGCACTCCGTACCCAGGCCGAGTCCGGTCACCCAGTTCAGTGGGCTCGGAAGGCGGAGGAGATCCTCAACGATGACGAGGAGTCAGTCAGCTCCCTCATCCCAGCCTATCTCAACTCCCTCAAGAAGCTCATGATTGATTAGGAGCATGGCTTCAATTTCACCATCATCCCCCAGAAGTGAAGCATGGTACAGTATGAAGTTTGAAACATCCAAAAGGTTCCATGGGTGGAACCTGACTTTTTTTTGTGTATGCTGTACATTCCTGTTGCGTTTTCTACAATGTACTTGTGGCTTCCTCTCTGAGTGAAAGCTCATAGCCCTGACACATTCCAGCTTTATATCCCCTTTTTATCCATTTATACTGTAACATTTGTATGTAAAAACTAATAAATGTATTTCTAAGTGTTCCAGATTTCCAAATATCTAAAGAACAATCCTCAGGCTGATTCTCAGTCTGGAACACACCATTTTATATGAGATATTGTATTTGTTTAATACATAAAAAGCCAGACAAGACAAAGCATCAATAGTTACAAAATAAAGCTGGCACCCAGAAACTGCAGTTCCTCTAATGGCCACACGAGGCTGTTCAAAAAGCAAGTCAATCCACTACAGACTTCCAAATCAAAATGTGCAACTTTACTGTACTGACATATATACGGGGTGGCTGAGGCTATTCCAGACATTTGTGCTTTAGCAGATATCCTTCTCTTTCTGTAAACATGCAGAGTTTATGGATGCAGCTTGCTAATCAAGCCTGCTAGCATTAGTATTTACACTTCCTGATTTCTTAGATTTTCAAATATTTGTCACACACTCATGTTTCAGATCAAACACACGTGGACAAAAGTAACTGAAGTAAACAGAAAATACAGTTTTTACATGATGATTTCATTTATTAAGGAAAAAAGTAAACAAAAGCACCGGGGGCTATGTGAAAAAGTAACTGCCCCTCAAACATAGTAACTGGTTTGAGGGGCAGTTACTTGGGATGGAGCGTTTTTCATACATTTCCAGGAAGGATGTTGTTCCTCTTAGTAAATAAGCTCATTATTTAAAATCTGCATTTTGTATTTATTCCGGCTCTCTTTTTCCGATGTGATCATCAGGAAACTACTGTTTGTAGTCAAGATTTCCTTCATTTAAGCAAATCCGTGACAACCTTTAAGATAAATAAGGTTCAAATTGGCTGCAGTATTTATTAAACCATACATGCGAGAGGCTAAAGGGAAGTTTTTGAGTCCGTATATAAGTGGTGACTTAAATACAAAACACTTTTTTTCATGATTAACTTTTGCCTTATAAATGACTTCAGTCACTATCATAAAGTGTTGCTGGGGTGCTGTCAGCACATGGAGTAGTTTAGGCCATTAATGTCAGTGTATTTTCAGATTTCAAATGCATCTGTCTGAACTTTTCACTGACTAAACCTGTCACAAGACCTGACCAAATATGCTGTTGAATGTGAATTTTTTTTAAGGAAATAAAAGACCTTTTTTCCCCCCCATTAACTCTGTTTTCTTGCTTTTTTCTTTCTTCATTTTTTGGAAACAAACAAACCACAAAGCAACGCATTGAGACATGAGATACGTATTTCCATTTTATTAATGAAAAATGACAACTTTTAGCTGTTAATGTACAAAAACATCTCATTTGTCTCCTTTTAGCAGTCAAGCAGTACTAAGCAGTAATACTGGACAAGAACATTTGGTATGGCAGTTAGCTTCTGCAGTACGGTTACCAAATCCAACTGAAGCAAATGATTCATATTCCAAAACTCTATCATACTGTTAGAGATGTTTTCTTGTGTATAAAGCACTTGTATGTTTAATATATTATCAGTACCAAATATCTACCGTATGTTTTCTGTAAAAATCTACTATTTAATCTATTTTACATTCTTTCCACTACGATCCCCTTTCAGAGCAAATCACCTTAAAACATATTTACACATATATGTCACAGTTATGCTTCATGAACATAACCAAAAACAAGTCTGTAGCAACTTGTGTTTAGATGTCTTTGTATATGAACAGCAATTTACAGTAAAAGTTGATTAAAAATCATCTGAATGTAAAGTGCAACTGGCTGATTTAAAATTCTTATTAGAAATTTAAAAAAGGAGAAAATTAGATTTGTGAAGTGTTGCCAGATTTGGGATTTTAGTCCTCAGGAATTCACCGTTGGCTATTGCCCAACTCCTAAGTGTGATGATCAGTTACTGCCAGTCATAGTTTATGAAATGCAGCTTGTTGGTGGCAGTCCCATAAAGCATCTGATTTCCCACCATTTATTAACTGTGTCTGAATCTTTAATGGGATTCATGTCCCCTGCTTAAATTGTTTGTGTGTACAATAACAGAAGAGCCAAATTTTGAGGAACAGCACTTGGTGTGAAGTAAAATTTAGCTTGGCCTCATTAAATAAAGTCATTGTATGAAAAGAAGCCATCAGTTTCTGGTGGGTTTAGGTGGGAGGCTCGCATTGATTTTCCACAGAATGTGAGAGTCTGCAGATGTGGATCAACTGAACACTTGCGACAGCTGTGTTACAAAAGAGAAGCCTGCTTTTTTTTTTTTACCATAGATTGAACCGAAGACCCACTATTAGAAAAAAAAACTTTACCTTCAAACACCACTGCCATAATAAGCTGCATTTTGTTTTTAATTAAAATTAGATCTAGCAACAGTAACTAAAGAGTGGAGTCTAGCAAAGTCACCATGTACACACTGGAGACATTAAAGTACTTCATTCTGCTACAAAGTAACAGAGCAACTCTTTTTTTCTGAATGCAGTTTGCTTAGCAGCATCTGTTAAATCATTGCATTTCTGGAGTATTAGCATTACACTTCTGCCTAACATAAAGCTATTCAACACTTACAACATGTTGGTGCTTCTTAAACATTTGCCTCACCTAAGCATCCTTTACTAAAGAATATACATAAAGTTCCCATTCACTGTGCCGAGTAACAGCTTGTATAACACAAAACTATGACAGGTCTCGTCATCCCTCAAAAAACTCCCTCAGACACTGATATCATTGTCAGCAGGGGGGCTGTCAGGACGTAAAGAATAGCTCAGCACAAACTGACCATCCCTCAGTCTGTTAGGAATCACATACAGATCAGTGTGTGCATGCGTGGGAGGGGGAAGATCCCAGCACAGACTTCCTCTCCTCCGGCACGGAGCCTCGAGCTTGCTGTATCTGGGTGCGAGTTAATCAGATAGCGCCGATATCAGATCTCGATGTCCACTGGGCGAATTTCTCCAGTTTTATTCTCCCGTACCCACGTTTCTCTGTCTTTGGTTGGGTCCACACACTGCAGTAGCTGATCCACTGGCTCCATGGTCTGAAAGAACAAACAACAGCTGAAACGTCAAACAAGAAACTTTAGCCTCTTCTTCATGCTTCAGTCACTCAGAGAAAGTAGCTCTTTGCCTCCCTCTGCTGCTACTAGTGAGGTAACTATGCAATCAGGCTATTAGACCCTAAGTAATAGAACAAGCCCAGCAGAGGCCCTAGCCCTGAACCCAGGTATAATTTATTTGGGAAGCACAGATCACAGCTGGTACTATATAAATGAGTCCACCTCTCATATGTGTTGTAACTCCCATATGAATGGGGCCACCCCACCTCTTGCCCTATGCTAGCTGGGATAGACCCTGAGTTGGATAAGTGGAAGAGAACAGATGGATGGATGGATGAATGACGCCTTGGTGTATACTACCTGTTGCTTGCAAAAGACAGCAGATGTTGCACTTACACTTTGGTTGAACATGTCTGTCTCATGTCGAAGGGTGGTGTACTGGCAAAGATGCTGTCTGATCATCTCCACCCGCTCGACCTCCAGTCGTTCCAGCTCCTGAGAAAAAGATCAGTTTTAACAGCTGAGTCACAGAGAAGTTACCGAAATTCAGCATCAAGTGCAGTGCAGTGAATTCGCAAAACTCATTTGGAAATTCACTATTAGGAAACTGAATGGAATGGATAAAAAGAAAAAAAAAAAAGAGTAATTTCAGATCAAACTAGCACACAATGAACCACAAAACCCTGAAATAGATGTAAAAATGCAAAAAAACAAACAAACTTATATGTTGGGTATTAAAGGTTAATTAAAGTTAATACCCAACATTAATACTAACTTGTACCACAGGATGGTGTAATAAGTGACCATAATCTTTATTTAGCCAGGCAAGTCATTAAGGGGCCTGTTTTTAATCACAATGGAGGCCTGGAAGTGGGCAAAAAAAGTTTTTATATATAGCTAAAAGCACTGTATGAATGCTTGTGTGAATAAGACTTTGTAGTACAGAGCACTTTGCTCACATTGAGTTGAAAGGCACTATGGAAGCATGAGTGCATTTAAAATGACATATTAGAAATAACCAGTGTTGGGTAAGTTACTTTAAAATAGTAACTTAGTTACATTACTAGTTACTTCTCTCAAAAGTAACTCAGTTACTTCAAGTTACTCGTTACTTTCAAAGTAACTAGTTACTAGGGAAAGTAACTTTGGTTTTACTCAGAATTCTCTTGTTAATGTGTTTCTTCCATAACTTTGCCAGTCTTCTAGCTTGCTTACTTGCCACAGTGCACTGTGCCACCTACCAATAGAAAGGAAAAGATAATGTGCATATTTCCACGAGAGAAATCCCACGCCTGGACCGTCATTGACTGCTGCCATGATTCTAGCCTACGTCACAGCGTCATGTGCGCCTTTTACATCCAACACAAAAACTGCAGTCGTGGTGCTTTCGATTGTACTCAGAACTCGGAAATTCTGCCTTCTGAATAGGAAGATGTAGGTAACACCAGACTGCAGATGAGCTGCATACAGGGCTGGACTGGGACAGAAAATTGGCCCGGGCATTTTGACTAGAGACCGGCCCACCATTATAGGAAAAATCATAAAGCCTTTGAATGAAAACAAACACTGTTGTGACAGTGATGTACACTGTTCTGATGGTATATATGCATCAATCTATCAATCGTTTGTTGTAAGATTCAGATAATTATTTAATAAAAGCTAGACATTTTAAATGAGAATAAGAAAGAAAAGTATTTCTTTGTGCCCCCCTCTCCCTGTTAATGCCCTACATGCCCCCCTGGCAACACTTTGCTAGACCCGCCCCTGCACAGTTACCAGCTGTCAGCTACCTAAAAAAGGATCCTGGTGTTATTTGTCTCTCAGAAACAGTTCATAACTTCCCTTCAACTCATTCATGTCACCTAAAAGGTAAACCTGTTTCTCCATCACAGCTCTGATGATTCAGTAAGGACATCTCCTGGTTTCATCTTCATGTTTCCCTCTCACCAGATAACCAAACCATATCATGACCAGCAGCTTTACAGCTGTGGCTCCAGCAAACATCAGCTGATACTAGAAATTAATATTAAATAAATTCTAACAACAGCTGATCAAGCTTAAACGTGCTGCTGTTGTTTAGCGCGACATCCGCTGGTTTCCTCTTTCTGGCGCAAAGTGGGCGATAAACAAACAAGAGAGCCGATCAGCTGATCATTGATCAGTTTCATGATTGAAGTAGAAACGGGAGAGGGAGGGGGGAGAATGAGAGAAGAAGAGGCAGCTGTGCAGCAAAGACACAGAATAACTCCAGCTTTGTGTCTTTTTCATTGTAGCTGAATTACGGGACAAACTGTTCCTTTTCACCTCAATAAGAAACGTAATATTTTCTCTGAATACCAGACGGGACGGTTGGCAACTCTAATAACTTATGAACAAAATAAAGTTCAACATCATTAACTTCATAGCACCCACCACAATAATAACGTAGTTACTGTAACGCGTTACTTAATAACGCGTTAGTCCCAACACTGGAAATAACCAATGGTAACATTTTACCCTTGGTGGTGAAAGTTTCAGTTAATTCTTCAGAAGGTAAATCCAAAAAGCACCTTTAAAGGTGTACAGACATTTTAAGTAATCGCAAAATATTACTTTGACTAAATTATGCTAACACATGTAAAACTCATGCATTCTTACCAGGCTTGTGGTGACCATCTCTTCAAACCATTTGGACTGTGACTGATTATAAAGGTCGACACAGCGCATGAGATCATCGCCTGCCATGAAGAAGAAAAACAAGCCAATTAGCAACTTTTATTTTGAAAATCTATGCACTAATTTGGCTACAACAGCAAAAAACAAAACCCCAAAACAAAGCAAGCCCAAGCACTTCATTTGGTTCTAGCATTTTACATCCAGCAGATGGTGTTGCAACCAAGATATTCCCTCACAGCTGGGGCGTTCGAACAAAACATGCATGTGCAGGGATGTTTTCTCATTACTCAGCTGATACAATTATTCCAGAACAGCACAGATAATCTAGACTGATAGAAGATTTCATTATGATACCATGAGCAATGAGAAAAGGAAAGGTCTAATCTGTTATTTCATTAATGTCTCTGCCTGCATCCAGCTGACAACAAAACAAACACTAATCATGTAGAAGATTAGATTAGAGAGGAAATGATGCTGAGTATTCTGTTC